CAGCCTTTCTCTTTCCATGAGTCTAGAGTCCTCAGCTGCTCTCTCTCTCCAAGTCATCATCTCTGCCTCCATCTGGGGTCTCTGCTTCTCTGGGTAGGGTTCCACATTCCACTCATGCTCTTCTCCCTTGATGGTCCTAGGGTCCCCTGTTCTTGGACTGTTAGATTAACTACTCCCCACTTTTTGTTACAAAACTTCTACCTTTACAGTTGTGACAATTGCAGTTAGTCATGATAACAAGTCCCTCACTACTGAATCATAAGAATCTTATTTATCTCCATCTCTTTTCACCAGACCCATCTAGATAAGACGAAAATTATTCAGTAGGGATTCTACCTTCCCCTTCACACTCTAAAACTAAACTCTTAAAAACTTGTAAGCCAGTCATTTGTGCCTTTATTGCCTCCCCAAGACACCCATTTAAAGTAGCCAATGTTTAAGTTGCCTATCCCTCTCGACCCTGTAAATATATATATTTTTGTATTTCGCAAATTCATAGGAGTTTAGAATATAAAAAAGAAATATTCTCTGATGATTGCCAGGAGTGGGAGGGAATGGAACATACTTGGTTCACTGGCTATAGGGCAAACACATGTTGTCTTGGGTGACAGAGAGAGCTATGTAAAAGAAAGGGAAGGCAATATACAAGAGGAAGGTTGGCAGAAATATGATGAAGAAGGTGAAGAGACAGGGTAATATATGAGTACTGGTGTGGCGCTGTGGGCTAATGCCCTGGCTGATGGAACTCTCTCTGGCCTGGCTCAGCAAGTCTTTATTTATACTTAAAATCACACAATGCATAATGATTTGATACTTTGATTTTCCCCTTGAATTATTACACATTTGTAATTGTAACATTCTTTTACCCTGTGATTACAGAACCTTAACAAAAGTATTTCTATGGTGTCCAACCTGACCTTTCCAACATCCTTTTCTTTTCTAACCATTAAGCATTCTTCTTTTGACATTATCTCCTCTCCTACATAAGTGATAGATTGTTTCTTCTTATCCCCACTGAAAGATCAAGTTAAACCTTACACCAATTGTTTCCACTTATCAGACCTCTGATTACATCCTCTTAGTAATATGTTTCTATTAATCATTAATGCCTACACTACTTTATTGTTTCTACCTGCTAATTGTCAATTTTCTATCCTACATAATGTGCTACTATTTTCTATAATAAAAGAATTACTAACATCTACTCAATTATCTTGTTCTTCTGAACCACAGTGTCCCTATGTTTCTTTCTTTTAAGGCTGTAGGGCATAAGGTCCAACCTGGCTAATTGTTGCAGGAAGGGTAGATTATTAGGTTCTGACCACCTTTCATTTATGTTCACTATTCTCTGCCTATTTACGTAGGTGCCTGTATGTAATAGTGGGGGTTTGCGGATTCTGACTGGTAATTGATTGTGGTGAGGTCTATAGGGGTCGGTCAATTTTACTTTAGTTTGTTATCTGCTTTTGTGATCTCATAAATGCAGTTACTTTGTACTTAGGTTTTCTGTGAACAGGAGTGGTTCATACAATTCCCTCTGAATTCAACCCACTGAAGCTGAAACAATTGTTGCCAGACCGGTTTCTTCCCAAGGTCTGCAGAGCTCATAGTAAGAGCCGTGAATATAGCAATATTATATATTTTTACAACTGAATTCAGAGTTATCCTAAAGAGAGATAGAGGATGTTCCTCCTGAGAATCACTGCTTTGCATGATGTCTCTCCTTCTGCCGGGACTGTGTCAAACAGCAGAAGTGGCGAAACCGCTTCCCTCAGGACCCACCTAAGGGAGGGATTGTGGACTCTGTTCCTGCTGTGAAGCTTCAAGTCTAGTTCTGTGACTTCCTCCAAAATGAGTCAAGGCTCCACTCCTTGGAAACGCTATACAGGGTGACTATGAGGCAGAGCCAACTCGAAGGCACTTAACAACAACATTACACATAGGCAAAACTCCTTTTTGTTTAATTATAAAAATTTGGATTCGGGTGTTTGCACCCATAGTGAAGGAGATAACATTCAGTTTGTGTATGGGGAGCTGTGAGCCCCTCACTGCCCAGATCGTCACCTGGTACACCACATGCTGCAGAAATGGCACGCATCTCTCAACACCACAGTTCCTAACTAGTATTTATCCTGCTTTTTGTTTCTTAGGGAGAAACACCTTCTTCCTATTCCTCGTCTACCTCATTGTCAGCCTCCTTTTCCCCATTTTCCTCGTTAGCGGTCCCATTAGTGGGTGCATCTCTTCCATTTTCTGTTTCCTGCACAACCTCCTTCTTCTCCTTTAAGTCCTTGGTGGTGATCTCAGAGCTGGTGTCCACAGCCGCGTCTGACATGATGGGCCATGCTGGTGATCCGATACAGAGGATGACAAAGAGTGCGAGCTCAAGGACTCTGGCGAGATAGCTGCCGGAGTCCACAGCAGTGGTGGTGTGAGAGCCAGACCTGGGAACAATGCAAAGATGGATTTTCAGAGCAGCCAGTTACATTCTGCTTTTAGATAAAGAAGGGAGACACTGCAGCTCAGAGGAACAGGAAGTTATATCACTGCTGGAGATGCTGCAGTCCCATCTCTGTGGAAACAGGAAACATCGACCAGGAAGGACATAGGTCAGTGTGGGGAGGGGTCCTGATGAGCAGGGGTGGGTGACTCCCACCACATCCTGGCACTCTGCTGAGAGGAACGCAGGCACATTCAGACACCAGTTGTGGAAGAGAAGTCAGGGATTTCCATTTACAAAGTGGGGAGTGAACCAATCGTGTATCACTCTGTCCTCAAGGCTGCTGTCTCACGCTGCAGAAGAAAAGAAAGAACAAATTCAGGTCAGTCACTGCAAATGTGGAAACTCTGAATGGTCCATCACAATCTCAAAATGTCCAAACCCAATGAATCTCCAGAACCCAGTTATGTTCCCTCTGTTCCAACACTTCACCAGGTCAGGCCTCCAGGGTCTTACCTTTAGAGGCTATGAGAAACACATCGGAGCCCTGGTTACTGTCATTGCCTGAAGAAAAAACCACAGGATCTAGTCAGAGGCTACAGGAAACTAAGAGGTAAGAGGGTAATTCCATGAGCTCCCATCTACAGTATACTGCAAGGGTCCCAGGATCAGCCCCTCCCTCCATACTTACCTGCAGCTTGAACATAGCTGCCTCCTTTTCCACCTATGGGAAGAAAGTTTTTGTGTGGGAATGAGGAGGAGGCAGGACCATGAGTTCCTAGAACAGCTAGCTAGTTCTGGACCCCAGCGATGTTTCCAAAACTGGGACTGCAGACCCAGGTAAGGAAAAGGAAACACAAGCAAACATGTGCACGGACCGGACCACAACTTCTGGAATTCTGCTCTAAACCATAACCATGTCCTGTGACCGTGAGTACTGGATATCAGGTCTCCACCACCAGAACCATTAAGGTGGAAGATTTGTCCTTCATTTTCACCTGTGCTTACAGAAGTGTCATGTTTGCACACAGGGCCCTGGATGGAGTCTGCACATGTGTGGATAGTGCCTCCCATAATGAGGCAGAAGATGAAAAGAGATGGCTAATCCCCTAGGACTTGAAAACCCCCGCCCCCAGTGGGACAAGAACACTCAGAGCCCACCCCATATCTACCTGAGCTCTTCTTCCTCCAGATCACAGCTCCAGCCACCACAATTACAAGGACCAAGATTCCACAGACAATCAGGCCAATGATGACTCCTATGGTAGGGATAGTGGGCTGGGAAGGTTCTGGAAAGAGACAGGAGGTTAGAAGGTTGGACCCTTCAAAGGGCTCCAAAAGGGCTCCTGCTTCCCCTGAGAAGAGACCCTGTCCTTGTCCCCCTCCTTACCCCATCTCAGGGTGAGGGGTTCAGGCAGCCCCTCATGTTGCACATGGCACGTGTATCTCTGCTCTTCTCCAGGGGGACTATTCAAGGCCACCCACTTCTGGAAGGTTCCGTCCCCTGAAGGCCTGGTCTCCACGAGCTCCATGTCCTGGGTCTGATCCTCCCCATCCCGCTGCCAGGTCAGAGTGATCTCCGCAGGGTAGAAGCCCAGCGCCCAGCACTTCAGTGTGACCTTGTGGTCAGAGTTGTGGTGGTGAGTCACATGTGTCTTTGGGGGATCTGATGGAATGAGTGAAAAAATACAGGACCAATGAACTCCCTCACAAGATCCAATAAAATAAAGGTCATGTGAGCATCCTGAGTCTGGACTGGATAATTGGGGTGGGGGAGAGAGTACAAAACACAGACACCAGCCGGGACCAGGGATCTGGGACAACATCCAATTCCTTAGAATATTCTAGAATCACGATGAGGCAGCCCAGAGCAGGAGGCCCCAGGTGTCTGAAGGGGAGAGCTGAGATTTCTAGTTCTGAGGTGGGTGAGCCAGAGACACAGAAAAGCTGGAAGGAGACCTGCAAACTCACTGGGTGTGGGGCAGAGAACAAGGGTTGAGGGGGAAAGTCCCTGATGATTCCCAAGGTGAATTCCAGGAGGAAAGGGAACTGCTCATCATCAGGACTCAGCTCCCTACTGTCCCAGAGACAGGGGATCCCTTCACTGTGTGTGTGACAGTCCCTCCTGTCCAGGAGCTGGGAACCTGGGCTCACTCTGCTCTGTCCACACACAGGGAGCTGGGACTCTGGTCTCTGCCCCTTTTTTCTTCTTTCCTTTGGAGCTCAGCAGGGTGGACCCAGTTCCAGCTCACAGGGAGTTGTGGGGGGTGTGTGAGGGGGGCGCCACGTGTTCCCTGGTACCTGAGCGCTGCAGTGTCTCCTTTCCATTCTCCAGGTATCTTTGGAGCCACTCCACACAGGGGCCCTCCAGGTAGGCTCTTGTTCTCTCAGCCTCATCGCTGTCCTGCCACTTGCGCTTGGTGATATGAGCGACCTTGTCAGCTGCGGTCCAGGAGCGCAGGTCCTCGTTCAGAGCGAAGTAATCACGGCCATCATAGGCAAACTGCTCATACCCACGGAGGAGGCGCCCGTCGGGACCCAGGTCACAGCCATACATTCTCTGGATGGTGTGAGACCCTGACCCCAGCCCTGAGGTCAGCCCTACCCACAAAGGTCAGCCCCGCCCCATAATCCCTTTCGGTAATGAAGGGTCAGAGGTCAGTTATTTCTAACAAGAAAATGAAGCCATAGCGAATCCCCAAGACTCTTTCGGGGTCCCAGAGTCTACGGGTCCTCTGTCTCCGAGTGAAGCTCGGACCCGAAATATCAGGGCGCCCTGTCCGTGGATCAGGGGACACGTGTCGGGCGCCCCGGGCTGGTCACTCACCGTCCTCGCTCTGGTTGTAGTAGCTGCGCAGGTTCTCCAGGCCCGCTCGGTAAAACTGGGCAGTGCGCTTTGCGATCTGTGTCTCCAGCTCCCAATACTCCGGCCCCTCCCGCTCCACCCAGGGCGCCCGCGGCTCCATCCTCGGATTCGGGGCGTCGCTGTCGAACCGCACGAACTGCGTGTCGTCCACGTAGCCGACGGTGATGAAGCGGGGCTCCCCTCGGCCCGGCGGGGACATGGCGGAGAGGAAATACCTCATGGAGTGCGGGCCTGGGGACGGGGAGAGGCTGAGACCACCAACGCCCCTCCACCCCAGGAGTCCATGGGGAGGGGGATCGTGGACAAAGTAGGGCGGCGGAAGGAGCAGGACCGGGACTAGGAGGAGAAGGAGACAGGGAAGAGGGTCAGGAAGGGGTGGAGGACTCGATTCTGGGAGGGTCCTGCGCTCCTATACCAGGTCCCCTGGCTCCTCCCTCCGCAAAGAAAGTTCCCCTCCCGACCCCGACTCACCTGCCTGTGTCTGGGTCAGAACCAAGGTCCCCGAGAGCAGCAGGAGGAGGGCCCGGGGCCCCATGACTCTGGTATTGGGGTTCAAGCCAGTATCTGCTGCCTGGTAGGTCAGAATGGACCTTGGAACCCGGAACCGCGCTTCTCCAGGACTCTGAGACCCAATAGGAGTGAGGACTGTGGTCGCGTCATGTGTGTCCAGGCAGAAACAGCTGACACAGGTTGTGAGAGGGAGAAGTGTAACTCGGGTAGACAGGGAACCCCAGTGCTGGGTCTCCCCGCCCCTCTTGCAGCCTTTGGAGTCTGAGAGCCAAGCCCAGGACCTGGGACTTTGCCCTGAGCCCTCTCCTCAGGCCCCAGCCTTCTGTGCTGCCCCGTCTCCTTGAGTCCTGGGTCAGAGCCTGGTTATGTCAGAGGTTCCTGTGAGTTTAAGAATCTCTGTGCTGTCCTGGTGCGTGCTGTAGGATAAACACTCCACAGCAAAGTGGGCGGTTCAAACTCACTAGCCGCTCCTAAGAAACAACGTACAGGGTCGCTGTGGGTCAGAACCAACTCGAGGACGCTTAACAAAAATGAATCCTCTCCCATACATCTACAGCAATACTGTTGTTATTGTTAATTGCCTTGGACTTGATTATGACTAAGCCACCCTGTATAGGGTTTCAGAGGAATGGCTGGTGAGATTGAAACTCTGACCTTGAGGTCAGACAGGTGCTTATCCTACAGCACCACACCATACAGACCCTATATGACAGAGCAGAGCAGCCCCATAGAGTTACCTAGTGTGGCGCTATGGATTAATGCGCCAGATTGCAAAACCGTTTGAACTGCAAGATCGGCTGCTCAAACTCACCATCTGCTCCTCAGAAACCCTATACAGGGTCACTGTGGGTCGGAATCGACTCGACGGCACTTAACAACAACAACAACACAACAACAATCTTTAAAGGATGAGATCAGCAGGACTTTTCTACCAAGGAATGCCTGATTGCTTCCCATCACTGATCTTTGAGTTTAGCAGCCAAGATCTTAACCATTAAACCACTACGGCGCATTAGGATTTATTTTCACTCTTAAAGTTCATGAGGAACCCAAAGAGTTTAGTTTATGTAGGTTGTTGTAGTTGTTAAGTGCCATCCGAGTTGTTGCGACTCATAGGCACCTGTATAGGGTATCTGAGAAGTCGCTGATATTTTTGAACCATCAACCTTGTCTTTAGCAGTCCAGCGTTTATCCTACAATGCCACACCAGGCCTTCTTATGTGGGTTACGTGTACTGATATGAACCATATGAGAAATATCCAACAAACTTATAAAAATGAGTTTAAATAATATGAGTAACCCAGTAAACACTAGCTGAGATAGTATATTTCCATGAAAAATAAATAGTTCCCAGAATAAAACACTATAGTGAGAAGAGTGAACCATTTTACAGTTTTTCACTTCTCTTTCTTTTTCAGAAACATTTTGGATTTTCTTATTTGCTTCTGCATTGAATATGTTATTTTGGTTGCAGCGTTTGCAAAATATCTCTCATCCTTGGAAAAGGAAGCAGCATTTTTAATAGCGTTTCCAAGGAATTATGAATGATCTTGTTTGACACCTCACTAAAGCTTCAAAAGTGGTTATTTTATAAAGGTTACTTGCAACAGGAAACTCTATTATTGGATATTTTAATTCTGTTCATTAAAAAACCATGAGCTCATCCATAATTAATTAATTCACTGAGTATGGGGATCTTCCAGTATTGACACATTTTAGTACAAAGTATCAAAAAAAACCCCACATATGTTAGTATTACTACTGATCCCAGCAGACAAGACAATATTGTAAGTTTTGAAAAGCTGTCAAACTTTTGGATACAAGTTTTCCAATCTTGTATCTCTTAAAAGGCTACATTGTATCATTGACAACAATATTATTCCTATTTTGTTTCCTTGAAATGAGAGGCATACTGGTTGTTCATTTCCCAGAAAGTGCCAAACACCCAAGCCAGTTTCTCTAGTACTCCTTTCAAGTAACAATGATAATCCACAAAATGAGGCCAGTTCATCTCACACAAATTGTTTCCTCTGAGACAAACTGTACTGTGCAATGTGGAGAAGAGCTTTCTATGTATATGTACTTCCTACTTCATCACATCACATAAAGGTGTAGGCTTGAGGATGCTGGTTGAATAAAGTTAATAGAACTTTTAATGCTTCAATCATTATATATTTAAGTAAAGCTAGCTTTTTTTTTTTTTTTTCCTGCAAGTAGGTGATCATAAAGAATATCATTTGTGATAACATAACCTTGATCCTTCTAGGCTCCCAGCTCATTTACCTCAGTGAAAACATGAATACAAAGAGAAAAGATAATAATTTCCCAATAATG